GTCTCATTTTGTAGATAATTTTACTCCCTATAAGCTGTCTGAGAGTCACTTTTCGCTAAAATTGATGGTTTTCCCTGCAAAGTGAAAAAACTGTTTTCCTCACTTATTTGTTTAAATAGAAAAGTTAGCTAATAAAAGTTTTTGACTCACGAGACGAGAGATGTCTTGTATTATGTTCCTTTAGACAATTTTACAATAATCTAGCGGATAGGACTTTTTTCGAGTTTCTCTTTTATTTTCGCTAATTTTCCTGGTGTATTGAGTATTACTTATTGTTTAAGAATGGAAAACGTTTACATTTATTCAAATGCAAAATATTTATTCTATACTAACTAGGTAAATTACAGAAGCAGGCAAGATTTTAACCCAACAACACGAATGTACTTTCCCAAAGGATTTTAGTGCGCTGAATTCGAATGCTAGGTCCAAATATCTCAATTAGCTTTGGTTTTCGAAATATCCTAACCTAAAAGTAAATCGATTTTTTGACATATCTGAGGTTATGTTACATGGAAAGATAATTTTTTTTGCTGAAACCATCAATGGGGTCTTAAAGTACCTACTATATTTATTCTTTAAAACGCACTTAGATTTACCCCGACATCATTTTCGTCTTTGAGAAATTACTTGTTGAAATTTAGTAGTTTGACTTATTTCTCGATTTTTAGAGTTTATGGGTAAAGGATTTTTGGGCTTAGGATTTATGGGCATAAGGTTTATGAATCCGGCATTGAGGGTATTAACCTCTTTTGCGTGTAAATGTATTTCCAGATTGCGTAAAATATCGTCCAAATATCGAAGTTTAAAACATTTTTTGTAAGTGTATTGCAAAATTTGACGTGATAAAGTATTTTGGAGTTCAGATTCGTGATCAGCTACCCCAAAAATATGTGAGATCCCTACTTCTCGGTGCCGATGAATTTAGGTGCTGTGTTGCCAGTATATTCAAAAATCGAGAAGTCAAACTACTAAATTTCGACATGCGATTTCTCAAAGACGAAAAATTATATCGGTATTAATCCAAGTACGTTTAAGAGTAAGTATAGTACCTACTTTAAGACCGCAGTAATAGTGTTGGCAAAAAAATTTACCTATCCATGCAAAATAACCACAAATATGTCAAAAAATCGCGATTTTGGTACTTTTAGGTTAGAATATCTGGAAAACCAGAGCCAACTGAAAAATTTGAACCTCGGATTCGAATTCAGAGTACCTACCTTTCTCCGGAAAAGTACATTCTGGTTTCTGGCTTAGGGGGTCGGCCAAATTTTATAGGCCTTGTTATTAAGAGAGACTGAAAAGTTTTTCGTATTTAAATACCGACCGTAAATAATACAAAAACTGTTGTGTTGTCGACAAAAAATGTCCGAGACACATTTAGTGATAACATGCCGGTATGCGTCTGATCGGATACCCGAGTGACTAATCTAGTTTTTACTGCGTTTTTAATATGTAGTGAACGATGAGGCATAAACAAATCTTTTTACTTAGACACGTAAATGAATAAGATATTATTTTTAATTTTAAATATTAACAAGTAGGTATTATTTATTTTTTAATAAAAACAAATGTATAAGGATAATGATTGTTTTCGAATGATAGGTTATTCCAATTTAGTATTATTACTATTGTACGTTTTCGCTTTGTTTTATAATTGAATATGAGTTTTTAGTATTACATTCAATTAATTATTCAGTTTAAGGTATGTATACCTTATAGCTGTTTTACATTGACAATTTATTGATCAATCAATTCATGAAGTCGCTTCATCAAGAAATTAGACAAGTGTAATGCACCAAATCTGCTGTCAAATAACTTCATGAATTTATTCATCAAGTTCTTGACGAATTAGAGCAAGTTCTAATTTTCGTCAATTTCTTCGTGAAGTTCGGAAGTACCAACCCAACAGATTTCCACCCTCAGATCAGTAATGAGGTTATGTTATTGGAATATGTAAATAATTGTGTGGCGTCGTGCTANATCCTCCGTACAAGCATAGCTAATCTACGGTCTACCGGCCGCGGGATTCGAAACCCGGGCAGATAGCACACATCGATTTAAGTACTGACTCCTTAAACCGTGCGGCTATCGACCGCTGGTGGTGATTTGATTGGGTATTTCTGCCACTCTGAAAAGAAAAACAATTAGTAACCGTTTGTCAAAAGGATCAGTCAAATTTATACGTATTGTCTTCGGTGCTCCTCTATACTGATTTCGCGGAGGCAGTCTTTTCCTGGGGATTGGTATTTTTTGTGGAGTCATCTTTTTTTAACGTGACGGGCTTCTTCAGCCACGTCAGTCCTGACGGGGACCGACCGGACGGAACCCGACCTACTTCGCGTCCTGCTAGCGGAGCACGATACAAGTTTATTTTTATATTGGATCGTCTTCTTCTTGCCTGAGCCTGTTCGCTTCCTGTAGGGCGTCTTATGGTCGCACCCCGTCGCTGAAACGAATGGCACTGTCTTGGCTTTTCTGGGGCATAGGGGTCGGTACCGGTACTTCACCCTGTGCCCGACGAGTTGCTCCTGTTCTTGTTTCGTTGGGCGAAAGCAACCGTAATCGTTGCAACGCGCACGGCAACGGCAATAAGAGAAGTCATACCACCTGTACCTGTTTTCCCTTGTGAAGTTGTTAACGAATTCTTTTATGGGGTGAACTGTTGGCAGGTGCACAGACAACTGACCCCTGGTATACCTCAGTTACGCGAATAAAATAGAAAAATAAAAATAAACGCGACCTGGAAGGGCAGTTGGTGAAAGTTAAAGTGAAAGTTAAAAGTCGACCGTCGTACGTCGACACTCTGACTCGATTTGACTCTCTCGAGCAAGCGTTCAGTGCTGACCATGATACCTACATAATAATAGCACAGCATATAAGATAATAGTATCATGAGCGCTACAGTGCTGACTATTTACTCGTAAATGTTTGGCCGAAGGGACGCGCGACCTTTCGAGAAATGCGGTGCATCCAAACAAAACTTGCGAAATTTGGCCACGACGATAGTATATAGTTTATAACTAGATTTATGTTTTATATATTCATTGCCAAAATAGGTAAAATTTTCCGCACAATTTTACTTTTTTTTAGCTATACACACTTGCTTTTCCTGCAGCTTCAGTTTAAATACTCAAAACATCTGAAAATTTAAATTTCTCGTTTTCATAGTTAGGTAGGGACTTCTGTTGTTCCCTCTCTAATAATAATAATGACAAGAACAACGACAACCATCACGATAACGACTACTACTAAGAAAAGATAACGATAATAATCATGATGAGGTGTCTACTGTCTGTAGTATTTTTGAAGCCATTAACATAAATTTATTTTTGTTAATTTTTATTGTCACTATATTTAGTCAATACCGTATAGTCGTTACAATCATTGTTGCTTTCATTAATATTGTTATTAACATTAAAATTATTATTTTCAGATCCCACGCTACATTCGCTCTGGATGTTGAGCTCCAACTCTATATATGTCTACAAAAAGTATCGTTGGAGGTAAGTAGATGTATTAGATATTTGATAAGCCCAAAAGACCGCATGTGTTCTTCGGCACGACAAATTTTTAAGGTAGTGTTGATAGTTTAGAAAACTATTACATTTACGTGTACTGAAATAACTTGGACAATATTTGTACAGGGTTATTCATGTAACATTCCACTCCCCTTATCTTTCTTAATTTTCTATATAGGAAAAAATAGTAAATACCAGACTTCTAGGAAACATGTCCTTTAAAGTGGGAAAAAAGGAACTGTTTATCTAAAAACAATTGATGAGCTGATAAAATTATTTAGTTGTTTTACATGCTTTATAATATTTACCGACATACAATTGGTTTTACTGTATTTGCGGTAAAAGTGATTGTTCCAAAAACGAACACGTAGACATGTTATTCGTCTTCGAATGAATGTAAAAAAATAGTAAATAAGCTTAGCTTCTGTATCAGAACGTTTTCCAGACTGATGAACTATTTGCCATTGAACATTCAGATACGTTGAAGAAAAAGTGTTCGGCATAAACCAATAGCTAGAATGTGCTTGCTGCCATTTAAATAAATCCACATGTTCGAAAAGTTGCGGAAAATGCTGGTATTTGCGATGTTTTGTACAAATAATTTTTGTCGATAACAAACATCATGGTGATATCTCAGGAATGTTGATTCATAGAAAAAAAGTAAAAGTAGTAAGGGACAATTTTTGTAGACAATTGTATGATCTACAACTTTTGTCTGATCTATTTTTATGATAGCACATTGTAAACTTACCACTATTTTTTGGTCTATTTTGACCGGATTATAACAGAACATGCTCACAGGAAATACGTTTTGGAGTTAGTGGCCAAGTTTGTGGAGACTGGATCTGTAGGTAATAAAAAGCTCCGAAAGAAATGAAGCAGTAGATGTGGCGGTTCTTGGCCATGTTCCTATATATTCCAGAACGAGATCGAGGCAACTGACAGCTGAATCTGGTTTTGGGCTAATCATAAATTTAATTCATACAAAATTCACCTTGCACAGGAACTTCATCAAGGTGACTTTGACCGCTGACTACAATTTTGTGAAATAATGAGTGAAGGAACTATTTACAATTTTGATTTTATTTTTAATATTTGCTTCTCAGATAAGTGCTCCTTTTCTGTCAATAGTCATAATTGTCATTATTGGTCCGATTTTAAAATATTTTATACACAACATTGGGAAAAATTAAATGTATGGACTGGAATTTTTGGTGAGCATTGTTGGTCCTTTTTTCTTACAAGGGGATGTACCTGGATTTGTTGGAGAACAACATTGATTCATTGATTCATCATCGTTGATAAACATTTTCGAGAATAATGCGAATTATCTCGTTGATATTCCAACAGGATGGAACTCCCCCACCTCCACCCTCATGTTCGGCAAAAATTTATTTCACTCCACCTACTTTCCTTCCAGATCTACACCAATGCATTGTCAACTAATGCCGCCAAGTTACTCCAGAAATGTTACAAAATGTGCGGGAATTAACCTGTTTTGTGAACAAATTATAAATTGTTCTACGAAATAGACACTAGGGATGGTAGTAGAATAAAGATTATGGAAACATACGGACCAGAGCTATAATGAACAATTTCATTTACTGTATATCATTAATATCACTATTCATTTTTAAACGGGTCTCTAAACCCTTTCTTACAAACATAATCGTAAATATTAAGATTATTTCTACAGCAGTTGAAGATTGATTTGAAACTATGTACATATCAGAGATAATTGACCAACTGATTCGCGACCTTGATATATTCTATTCACGGAAACTGACATTCTAACCATGATCATCGTTAGAAATTAAACCTGCCTTGCCTAAAAAGAAATTTATATTCTCAAATAAACTTTCTAGAAAAAGGTGTCGTCCGGAACCCTTATTTTTCAAGCCATATTTTTTTATCGTTCAGTAAATATTTAATGAAATAAAAATCACTTCGACATTGGTCGCAGTGTAAATTAAAATACAATGAAATGTACTGTGCCTCACTTCACTTATTTCTTGTGGTTTAGTACTTCGCTATTACAAGAAAACATGTAAAGTGACCATAAAAATTTTATGATCGGGAGGGGAATGATTTTTATCGATCACGATCTGCTCATAAAGTGCCATCGTAGGAATACCAACAATTCCGATAATAACTGGTGAAATGCGTTATAATATGAAAATTTAAAATGAGTTTATGGTTTTCGAAATGTAGTGACATGCCGAAATATTTTTCTGTTTTCTCAACGTAAAATTTGTGATTAAACAAAATATTTTTATGCAGGATTATATAACATTTTTAATATAACTTTAATGGCGGTTTCCATGTCACAAAATAACCCTTTGTTTTCAATATACAGGGTGTTCAAAATTGATAAAAGCACGTGGTATATTTCAGTCGCAACAAATTGGAATATTAATAATATATTGTATAAAGTTAATTATTTCTGGAAAAGTTTTAGTTTTTTCTTTAATTTAATGAGGGATAATTATTATAAATAATAATAATTACGCGATTAAAAAATTTTTATAATGTATATTTACGCTGAAAACAAAATATTTTCAAATCATTATTTAAACCCTATTTTGAACCACTTCTGACCGTGGCGGCGTGGATTCATTCCCATCTCTCAAGTTAACACGATGTCGGCCTGAAGCGACGTTGCCAAATTTAAATATTTTTCCTAGTATCATAAATTGACTATTTTAAAACTCATGTTTTTTCTTGCTCACTTCAACCAATAATAATTTAAAATGTTAAAATACGTAATGAATGATATAAATTATACAGGGTGCCTCACGGTGACGAGATATTAGATATATTTTAAAGACTACTTTGATTTTAATTTTAAAAATTTGGGCAATAGTGTTTTCGGGCATACCCTTCGCAACTAAAATAATGGCGTCCACCTAACTCTTCCGGTTATACCGGAAGTTGAGTAATCTTCTTTATTTTAAGCGAAACACCCTGTATATTATTGCAATTTTGTATTGTACGTCAATTTTTAGGCGAACTTTCATAAAGGTTTCGTATTCTTAAAGTTAACAGATTTTGATATATTTAATTGTTTTCAACAAAAATTTAAAAAGCACTGCCCAATTAAAAAAGATGTATATTTTACAATAATAAAGTTAGAGCGATACAATTTATAGGGGATATAACTAAAACTCTAGCTTCCCTGAGATAATTTCAAAATGATTTAATTTCATATAGGGTGGTAGAAAATTAATGCCGAATTTAGTCAACTTTAAACCATTTTAACTTATTTTTTTAAAATGTAACACCCCGTATATTTTTGCGCAACCTGATGAACTATTTTATTCTCTTTCTAGTGGAAGTTCAAAACAAGCACCTAATCTGTCACCAGTTTATTATTGTCAATTTAACACATACAGTGAATGTTTATTTGTAGACCAAGCAAATTAAATTTTTACTCGAAAAAAGTCCTATCCTCTAGATTATTGTAAAATTGTCTAAAGGAACATAATACAAAACATCTTTCGTCTCGTGAGTCAAAAACTTTTATTAGCTAACTTTTCTATTTAAACAAATAAGTGAGGAAAACAGTTTTTTCACTTTGCAGGGAAAACCATCAATTTTAGCGAAAAGTGACTC